CCACTCGTTGGCAAGACTGTCGATGGTTTCCTCTTCCGATGGTCACTTACAAGTAAGCTGATGACGGGAATCCATAATAATTAACAGTTAGATACAACAAACCAAATATTCAAAGGGAAAGTTAAAGAAGGTTTCAGCCTAGGAAATATCGTTGCAAAAACTATAAGAAAATAGAAACTGATTGTGTGGCGCTGAAGGTTTTCGGACCGCGAAGAAGCTTTTAATGTTCGGGCTAAGAGCACTTCAAGGAAATGAATGGAGGAGTGTCCTCAAAAAGGCTTTATGAGGAAGCAGAAGTGTGCGGAGTGCTCTGCTGTTCTTCTGAGGCTCGAACAAACTTGTGTCTTAGCTTTTCCATATACCGCAGCTCTTATTAAGTATTATTAGACAAAAAATCTCCGAATCAAGAGTTTCTAAGCAAGCTGTAATGAGATGGAGAGAAATTTAGCGCTCTTTTCACACAAAATATGTTAGAAAGCTGCCTGAGAATTTGTTGATTCATGGTCTGGTTCTTCAGCTAAGCAGCTGACAACTTTTCCAGTTTTTGACCAGTGGTGCATCTACTGGTGATCAGCCTTCCGACTATCCCGACGTTTGTTTCTTCTCAGAATTACTTTTTTAGGCCAAACACAAATTTTACGAAAATTTCTATCTAGTCGCAACTCAGAGATTTACTAGAAAGTATTTAATTCCAGAAGGCCTCAAAAAGCGTCAGATAGTTAGTACATGCGGTGCGAAAAAGCACATATTAAAAACAAACACGTTTGTCCATATGGCTTTCGGACATCTGCACAAAACATACACAAAAACCACAATTTTTCAGAACAGTATTTCCGTACACCAGGACCACGGAATATCAAAATAGAAATAAAAACAACAGGCACTCACTGGCAAGTGACCTAATTTTCCCCGAAATTTTTGTAAAATTTTGCTCGAATTACTGCATTTGTGAAAGGGGTATCTTCCAGGAAAAAAAAATCTCAGTTGCATCACTACCTACACAATTTATAATCCACGTAATCAGGGATTTACAAGTGGTAGGAACCTGTTTACTAGATTAAAGTAGATTCAGGTTAAATCTGTTTTCTGCTTATCCAAAAAATTTCACTATTTGAGCTCAAGATCGAAAGATTTAAGAAGAAGTTTTAGACGAACCTGCACTTGTTCCGCATCAAGCATTGAGGAGACATTAGGTGATATGGGCGGCTGGTTGACTATAAAAGGAACTGATACAACGTCATCGTTTGGCGTTAGTTCTACAATCACTCGGACTGTGCCGCTCGGAGCACCCAGTTTCATCGCTGTGGCACCGCGCTCCATTCCACATATTTCTGGAAGTAAAATTTCAACAAAGCGAATTACAGGATTTGTGTTTTGTCCACTTTGGGGATAGCAAAATCTAATTGGAAAACTGGGACAACCAGTCCCTCTACGATTCGTTCATTCGTCATAACGGTAATTGGTACCGGCATATATCAGGAGGTCAAACCCGCCATCAGCTTGCTTGTAAGCAACTTTCGAATGTAGAAAACATCGAGAGCCCCTTGTTGTTTGTAACTGCCCTGGGCAGTTGCTTCCGCCCGGACTAGTACCGAATATCTCCGTCTCTCAAAAAAAAAAGTGATTACAGAGGAGATTTCGATTTTTGAATTGGAAAATACCTTTAGTCTGCTTTTGTGCATTTTTTTGAGTTTCCAAGCATTTGAGTC